TACATACAGAGACCATAAACTTGTATATTGATTGATCAACGACTAGTAGTCAATGTCATATTCGTGTAGTCTGCCAGTACTGATCAAATTCTACAATGTAGCTACTGTTTAAAGTGACACGAAATCACGTAACATACAAATTCTGTTGTCAGGTCGTTGGAGGTATCCGGAAAGAAACTTGAATCTCGGTCCTATCCTATTTAAAACTCATCATCAAGAAACCTAGGTTCAGTGTCTTCTGGTAAATACCTTTAACCACATAATCTGAAATTGAAAAACTAGTCCTACACATTTATCTACACTTAAATATAAAATGACTTTGAAACAATTTTAATAGAATTTTATTTTGGTAGTTGAATTCAAAAGTCAATGTAAGCTAGACCATCACTGAAAACCAGGAGGCAGTGGATGGCCGTTTCGTCCTATTATGGAACGAAGTCTAGAGATTAAGCGTTCGCGCGTGATACTAAAGTCCATGGGTTCGAGTCCCACATGCAGGATCATAGATGCGCACTGCTGAATAGTCTCATGTTAGGACGAAACGGTTGTCCGATGCTTCCAGGTTTTCAATGGATTCAGGGTTTTCATGAATTCAACCATTAAAATTGCTACAATCTCCACAAGCCATCATTCTGATCAGAATTTTTTTCGGTATATCTATTCGCAAATTTAATACAATAATTAGTTTTCCTACCTGAATTAATCTTGACGGTTTCCTTCTGAATAAAAACTGCTGAAGTGGTAAACTAGAGTTTTGTAGATCAATAATTATATGTGTTACGTTATTTATAAACTAAGTTCCAAACTTTTGATGTGATAATCAACCAAGAAATCGAAAAAAAATCAGAACAACACAAAAATTACTGTTTACTACTTGAGTCGAACTATATCATTATCAGTTTTGAATGTGTTTTAAATTTGAAGACAAGTTTATCATAGATGAAATCTTCATAATAGACAATGTAAAACCACTTCATCCTAGAATCGGATTTATCAGGATATGGTATTTCTCTAGAGTATTCAGATTTCATAGCTTATATCATTTATCGATAGTCAAAAGGTCAGTAATCTAGAGGTTCATTTTTCGCTGCCACATCATGATGAATCATTGGTGGATATTATTGACGAGTCCTTCATTTGAATGAGACAACTATTGAGTACATTGTGGTTTTTGAGTAGTTGATCAACTCAAATCAATCTATGATGTACACTATGAAAATTTAATAGTTCTTATACAAACTCTCCATCCTAATACATTAAATCACGAAATAATATATCGAAGATTCAATAAATCCGCTGAAAAAATGTTTAAGTTGACCAGACTAAGTTATTCAATATGACCGAATCATGAAAACTCACTTCGCGAAATAAGATTCCATATATCATCAAAGGTTTCCGAAAACTTCGATAAAAGTAGAATTTAAGGATGAGGTAATCCGAATCAACATTTAAATATAAATAAGTTATACCTCATTGTGTTCAGAAGGCGACCTGCTTGAATATCTGGTCTACCTGTTCTTAACATCTAGATATTTCAACAAAGTACCTGTTTTTTGTTTGTTTTAACACATCATTATATCTATTAATTGCATAACGTATTTAGGCACCTTTATCAAACGTTTACATCCTTTCTCTGTACAAGTTACAAAAAAGTACAGTCAGAGATATTGTGATGGATGGCAATATGCATTAAAAAAAATGATCATTAATTCGAATATTGATTCCTGAACTGTTAAATTCTGACTTGAGGCCACTCAATATTTATCATCAGGATTGATAAAAAAAATAAGAAACAGAAACTTGTTGAAATACTTTGTATTGAGAATTTGGCGAGACTATAATTTATGAACGAGCCAATCAGATTTAAGATAGCAAATCTTGGAATTAGACGCGAAATTCATTCACTCATTTGATTAAATACCATTCTGGCATGATAGCTTATGTCAGTTCGTGATGAAAACATTAAATCTAATTCTTTACCCTAACATTCAGCTGTAAATCCTAATTCCTTATATTAGTCTATAACTCTCACTTAACTCGAATAAGAAGGAGCACATTCCAAGGTCATTTTAGAGTTGCTTAAAGGTCATTCATAAATTATAGTCTCACCAAGAATTCTATATTATACCAGAAATATAATATTAAATGAACCCATTGATAATAATAAGTGCTTTTGCAGAATGCTTTGAATATTTAAAATTATCAGAAGGGGGTTAGTGAAGATTTTAGAAATTTCAATAGTTGAAATCATGAGTCAATTGAAGCTAGACCTTCATGGAAAACTTGGAAGCACTGGACGGTCGTCTCGCCTCAGTATGGGACCCCTCAACAGTGCACATCCTTGATCCCGTCCCTCGCGAGATCCGAACCCAGTACCTATCAGTCTCGCGCCAGGCACTTAACCAACTAAACCAATGAGTCAGCATCCAATGATGTTAATGTCGAACTTCAACCAATCCATGAAGTTGCGCCACCGTACACCATTGGCTTCAGTGAGTTGATATCTCACAACAGACCTGGTTGAACTCCACTGGTAACGGCTTTTCCATGGTGGTCTAGTTTCAATTGACTCATGATTTCAATCTGTGATATTTAAAATTGTTGGGGACAATTGATTTTATCTGTCATTATAGTATAAAAATGATTATGTTAAAATGTATTGGGTATTCCCGCTTTTATATTTGAATATTACATAACACTTAAGTTAGTCAGTTCTTCTTTTAAATTGACTTTGTTGATAGTAATCTCTTAAAGAATTCATTACAGCACTGATTTAATGAATTAATAATTGGCGGTTTGTTTAAATATCTGGGCTGTCTATTCCTGTCATCGAGATATTTCAAAAAGTTATCTGTTTGTTTGTTTGTTATAACACATCATTATGTTTATTAGTTGCACAACTTATAAAGATACGTTTATGAAAATCTTACAACCTTCCACTGTACAAGTTATAAAAAAAGTACAACCAGCTACTCTATGGTGGTTATCAATATGAATTAAAAAGAGTGTACATTACTTAGATATCGATGCCTGAACTGCTAATATCTAACGGGTGATCACTAAATATTTATCGTCAGAATCGATCAAGAAAAAGGAAACAGATACTTGTTGAAATACTTTGTGCTGGGGAATCTATATTGTACCAAATATATAATATTAATAGTAATATAAATAATAGTAATAGGTGAGCAGATGAAGTATGCATATTTGTTTCATATCGATATAACTGACAATAATGATTCTCCTATAATTTCATTTCTTTAATGAAGGCTTTTCTTAAGGTATGTATACATTTTCTATCAACCAATTGATAGATCTAGAACATCAACTCTCTGAGATGCACGTACATCCAGCTGACGAGTCCCAAATAGGACGAAACGCGCGTCCTGGATTCCACTGCTAGCCACTATCCATCATTGCTTACAAATAGCTTGTGAATTCAGGTAATATCGAGACATATACACAGTATGCACATATGGCAATAACAGACTGACCAATTGCAGTCTTAAACCTCAATAGGAAGATACAAGCCAAACAATACCAAGTGAATCCAAACAGTACAAAGTGTGTTTCCTGTTCAGATTCTGTAAGATATTTTATGTATTATATTAATTTACTTTGTACTCATTGTATACTTGTTAATTATTCAAATAATTATCACTCAATTAACTAATTCACAGCATAGACTTATATCAAAGATGGATGGTGGCTAGCAGTGGAGTCTAGGACGCACGTTTTGCCCCATTTGGGACTCGTCAGCTTAAAGCGTTTGTGACTTATGGTTGTATTGAGGTAATCTACACAGGATGCACATAAGCCAATATGAGACTGATCAATTGCAGTCCTAAATAATAATGAAAAGATACAAGTAAAACAATACCAAGTGAATTTATAAATTTATATCATTAAAACTTTTCAAATTTTACTATAATTTCAATAGTTGAATTCATGAATGGATCTAAGCTAGATCACTACTAAAATACCTGTAAGCATTGGACGTTTGATTCGTTTTTATATATGACTCCTCTGCATTTTATAATCACTACTTAACACACGAGATTCAAAGACTTAAATCCTTGAACCATCATTCAACAATATTCATGTCTAACTTCAATCTGTCCATGATTTTATACAACCCTTTATTCATCTAATCATTTATTACCCTTAATACATTACAACTGAAATCTTTATCTAGATGAAATGTTGCTAACGATTATTATATAAAAATGGAATGATTAAGGAAAAAAATTAAGAACAATATTGAACTTTTAACAATATTAATTATATATTATTTACATAGATAATATAAATTTTATAATAAAAAAATTTAATCGATATTCAATGTTTCAATAACATATTCTACTCACTAAATCAATCAATATTCAATCAACAAATCACAGAATGATCAATTGATTAAAAGTGTAAATTTAAATAGTTTCTACGTAGAAACAATAAAATTTAAAAAAAAACAAAAAAAATGAAACTAACTGGAAAAAAAAGGTTTTCAAAAAAAAAACGAGTAGTGTTCTCTTTTTTTAAAATTTTTTTTGAAAAGAGAAAAAGTTACTTTGCTTTGTATTTTAAAAAAATGTGTAAATTATTCAATTTATATACATAAATAAATAGAAACTAACCCAGTGCAATAATGTAGACTGTATATATATTAGAAGGTTTGTCCTTCTTATGTTGTAGTGTTATATCTGATACGTTTATCTGCATAGTAACTAATGATCATGAAGAATTTTGAATGTTTCCGTAACAACAACAACCACAAAAATAAAAATAATTCATTTAATCATTTGATTCATTTAAAGTAATAGATTAGTAAAAATTCAATAAGTTCACATATTACTAATGTGTTCTTTTTTGATCTTCATAGAATATAATCAAATGGAAGCACTGAATAATTGATTGATTTAGGAAATTGATATCAATATGAGTAATTGTTTATTTGTTTTTATATTATTTAATAGAAAAAATCATAATTGTTTTATTTTAACTTATAAACGATGAATAGTCTCATTTAGATTATCATTATCATCAATAATGAATTTAACTGATTTCGCCATATTGATATCTTCTTCGTCTTTCTCCGTCTCTTTCTCCTTTTCCTGATCATTATCATCATGTTTTGATTTCATCTTTAATTCATTATTATCATAAATTTGTTTATTTTGTTCAGCTTTAATAAGTGCTTTCAATTTATCAATATCATCATCTTGTCCTTCATTGTAGTTCTCTTCAATTTCTTCATCTTCTTCAGTTAAATAAGCTTTATTATGTGTTCCATTAAAATTAATTTTATCTTGATTATTCATATCGGAATCAATAGTTGATCGTTTTAAATGCTTTAAAGCAAGACTACGCGATCTCATAACATCTAATAATGCTTCATCAAAATCTAATTGTCTTTTCTCTTTTGGTGCTATACTTGGTCTACGTGAATAACGTAATGCTTGTTTAACATCTGGTGTTATATTTATATCATTGGTTAATGTAGATAAACGTCTACGTGTTACATTATTATTAGTAGTATTAGTAGTAGTAGTAGTAGTAGTAGTAGTAGTAGTAGGATTACCATTCGATTCAATATCTTTTATTGATTGTTTACTTAATTCTATTTTATTCATATTTGATAAATTTAACATGGATAAATTACCATTCATTAAACTAGGTATGGATAAAGTGGATAAATGGGATGTAATAAAACGTGTTTTTAATGTTTCTGGTAAATCTTTTAATATTAATTCTGTTTTACTAGGACGCATAGTAGCATGATGCATTTTCAATGCAATTTTTTCATAAATTTTTAACATTTTTTGATTATATATATCTGTATCACGTTGTAATAATTTACGTAAATATTGTTCATTAAAACGTTGTATTAAATCCCGTATAGCATTACGTCCAATTGTCCCAATAAGGCATTCAATACCAGCTAATGTTTCATCAATAATACTATCATTTAATGAATCAAATAAACTTAACATTTGTTTACTTTCCATACGTATACGTAATAGTTTTACTAAGGGTTTCATGGTAATACCCATGAAACCAACAGTGAATAAGATAATAAATAATGTAGTTGTAATAATCAATTCTCTATTATATAAACCATTTGGACCAAGTTTATTTGGTAAGATTAATACAGATAATGAGAATGCTACAGCACCACGTAAACCACCATAAATTAATACAATTTGTTGAGTAAATGTAATTTGTGTATTCGATAATGATGTATAATTTACAATAGCAGTAATTAAAAATACAACTATAGCACGAGCTATTAAACACCATATTAAACCCCATAATATATAACCTGTATGCCATACTAATTTAATAGATACAACTTCAATACCTAAGAATAAAAATATAACAGATTCACTCATTTCTGATACAACTTTAGTTAAATTTCTAACCATTGTAATAGAATGTTTATCTAAATTATGAAATGCATATGCTGCTTGTATTAAACCGCAACCAATCATTGAGATAATCCCAGACCAACCAACACAATCAGCCATAATATATGAAAAATATGCTAATAATAATAAACTAAAAGCATTTAAACGACTTTTAATCCGTGTTATTAAACAAGTTATAATACCAAATAATAAACCAATTAATAAACCACCAAAACTAACAGTAAAAAATGATGCAATCCCAATACCAATCTCTTTACCAGTGACAATCTCTTTACCAGTAAATGCATCCATAATATCATATAATACGACAGTAACAGCATCATTTAATAATGATTCACCAAATACAATATAATATAAACCTAATTCAACGCCAATATCTTGAAATATAGCTAAAACAGCTACAGGATCTACAGCAACAATTAATGAACTAAATAATAAAAAAGCTTTAATATCCATATCTAATTGTGGTTGACCAAAACCATTCATTTTATATATTCCATACATAACAAAACCAATAATTAAAAAATTTAATATAGTACCTATAACAGCAAAGATTAATACAACACCTAAATATTCACTAAATGTTCTATTATATAAACTATATGCTGATTCTAATACAATTGGTGGTAATAAATAAGTAAAAAATAATACAGGAGTTAATTTCCATACAGTTTTATTATTAATCCCTTGATCAATACCATAACGTACAATTGCACCAAATATAATACCAATGATAATTAATACAAATGATTCTGGTATATAAATAGATATATATGGAATACGATGATAGGCCATTTTAATTAAGATCATAATTAATAAAAATACCATAACAGCAATATGAATTTCAAATTCATGAAATTCCCATTTGACAACAACAATTTCACTTTCAATTTGTTCATTATTATGGTTACCAGGAGTGGAATGAGTTTTATTTACATTTATAGATTGAATATGTTGTTGATTACCATTTGTTGTATATAATAGAATACAAATAAACAAGATAATGGATAAATTAGAATAGATCATAATCATATAGATTCCAATAAGAAATAGTTTACTTTTTCTTCTATTCAATATGATTGCTGATACATGAAAATGTTATTGTGATGTAATAATGATAATTGTAATAGAGATGTATTGAATGTAATTGGAATCTATTGAGGTATACAATTAGTTAGTTACAAATGTTCTATTCACAATGTATAAATGGTTCACAATAATAACATTGAGTTACATATACATATACATATACATATACATATACATATATATATATATATATATATATATATATATATATATATATGTATATATGGTTGATTTTCTCTCGTGTTTTGTTTGTGTTTCTTTCATTCATTTCGTTTTGGTTGATTCTTTCTCTTATTTTTTTTTCTTCTTTTTTTTCAAGTTCTTTATTGAAATTCTTTTTGACATAAACTAATTATTCTGTCTGTATGCATTCAGTAATATATTTCATAGGAATAAATTTTCTTTTATTTGAATATCTATTTTTTTTGTATTTTTTTATAAAAAAAAAAGAAAAACAAAACAAATAAAAACTGATTTTAAACTGTGTTATTGTTGTTTGTTTATAAAATTGACCAATCAAATAATGAGAAGTTGCATGATGAAATGTATATATATATATACATGTACATTTTCTTTGTGTGTACCTATCATAAATAAAGTTTATATAATATTTCAATAGTTGAGATCAGGAGCCGATTGAAGCTGTACAACCATGGACAACCTGGAAGTATTGAATGGCCGTTTTGTTGTAGTGCGGGACTTCTCAAAAGTGTGCATTCACGATCTCGTCCCATGAGATTCGAACCCAGGACCTATCAGTCTTGCGCAAGAGCCTGAGCCGGCATCCAATGGTGTTAATGTCTAACTTCAACCAATTCACAAAATTCCTTCTGATAATAATTATCCGTTCACTAGTGACTGACTTCAAAAGACACTGTTAGAGTTCTAATGAGAAGCCGTAACCAGTAGAGTTGAACCACATCTGTTGTGAGATAGTAATTCACTGAAGACAATGGTTTACGGTGGATCAATTTCGTGGATTAGTTGAAGTTAGACATTTATACTGTTGCATGCCGACTCAGTGGTCTAATAGATTGAGCTTTCCCGTGCGAGACTGATAGGTCCCGGCTTCGAATATGCAGTGGGCCGGATCGCGGGTGCGCTCTGTTGAGGAGTCCCATAATAATACGAAACGGCCATCCAGTGCTTCCAAGTTGTCCATGGTGGTCTAGCTTCAACTGACTCATGATTTCAACTATTAAAATTTAAAAAATCTCCACAAAACCCCTACTTCTATAATATTATCAGAATAAGGGTTTGTAGAAATTGTAATAATTTAATGGTTATGAATGTGTATCACTGAAGAGTCTTATACTAGGATGAGACGGTGATCCAGTGCTATCAGGTTTTCCAGGATGGTCTAGATTACAGCGACTCATGTAATCAACTATTAGATTATACAATACTGTTATTTTAGAATATATATATATATATATATATATATATATATATATATATATATATATATATATATATATATATATATATATATATATATATATATATATCGTGAGAAAGATAGATAGAGAAGGGGAAGAAATCGTTACATAAATAAATTTGGCTACAATTTATGAACGACATTTAAGCGACGTTAGACTGATCTTGAGAGTGTGCACCTGATAACTAAAACCAAATGAGGTTATAAATTAATGTGAGGAATTAAGGTTAAGAATTATATTAAGGGTTTTCATCACGAACTGACATCAGCTTTCATGAGAAGACTTGATTTAGCCAAATGGATGAGTGAATTTCGAGTCAAAATCCGAGACTTTTTATCTTATACCTGATTGGTTTGTCCATAAATTATAGTTTTGCTAAAATATCTTTTACTTTCTATCATGAACTGACATCCATTGAAGAACATCACTGAAACATGAAATTAAATAAGTTAAAATTGTTGTACTGAATGATTAACTGATAACGTTTATCAATCTTTCATTTATTTCCATAAACTGATGTAAGGAGATTAGTGAATTCTATAGAAAGCTATTGAAAATCAAGAAGTATTAAAAAGTTGGTTCGTTCCTCTATAGTACTGTTCAATAGTATTGTAGTGAACGAGAACACAAGTGGGGACAATCGAATATATTTAAACATAAAATTACAGAATGTGTTAGAAAAATCTGAGAACCATACAGTAAATACTTCATTTCCAAAATGTTCATTAATTGTCTCAGACTTCATTGTTCCTGCATTTACATATTAATTACTTTCTGTATCCCGTTATTTCCTCTTCGATCATCTTGACCTTCTGCCGACAGACATTCTATTCCTGACTAGCGTTATATACTAATTATGTCGACATAAGTAGCACACAACACAGTATGTATACACGACTTCGTTTGGATGGATGCCACTCAGTGGCTTAAAACTTAAGCAGTCACCGTTAATCCTGAGGATAATATATCCAATCCACGGTAGGGTATTAATTCAAGTCATTTAGAAACATTATAGTAGGACGAAATAGGCGACTGATGTTCACTGGTTTTCTGGAGATGTTTAATTAAGGTCAACCAGTAGTGTAGACCATATTATAAATTGAATGAAGGTGTAAATATGAAATATTTATATCATGGATATGATCAGTTACACGATGATGATTGAGCACTTATGTAAAGTATCAAACTTAGATAAATTACTGATTTTTTTATTAAATAAACTCAAATTAATTTAGTTCTAAAAACTGTTAATCTACATTTTTTAAACATGTACTCAAGGTAATGTTGTGGTGTATGTGCTACTGATGTCGACAGTTATAAGTAGTATTTATCATCATTCGAAAGTGATATGTCTGGTGGCAGAAGGTCACGAAGATCGAAGAGAAGAGAACGAGAACAGAGAATGATTGATGTGGAAACGAAAGAACAATGAATTCTGAGACGGTTGATTGATATTTTGCAAATGAAGTATCTATTATATGGTTCTTAGATTTCACTAAGTGATTCTGTAATTTTGTGTTCAGATACATTCAATTGTCCCTACTTGTGTTCTCGTTCACTACAATGTGAGCATGAATTTCTTTTCAAAAATGGAATAGTAAATATCTACTCAAACTAAAAACAAATGAATTCAATTACCTGTTCAAACTATTCTACCCAAATTGACATTTTTTAGAAATTTCCTCGCTTAATGTTTGTTTAAAATAAATAATTATGTATGATAACTGTGTGTAGTTATACTTATTAAACTTACAAAGAAGAAAACTATCCATAGTTGTTGAAGAAACTTAAGGCGATCACTACAGCATTCATAAGTCAAATCGATTAGATAATAATAATAAGAGATGTGATTAGAGTAGGACTGTTTGTACATGGTTAAGGGAAAATATGTAAGAAGCAATTATCAATGGAATCCAGGAAGCACATTCTGTTGTGACGCGTGGTGTCAAAAATCTGGTACTGATACACGGTACGCTACGCTCTAACCCTTCCCACGACCGACTTATTGAGCGTGAACACAAGATTGAAAGAGAAAGTGTATTGGAATACCGGATGAAATGCACAATTACTCATTCATTTATATACTATACTATCCTTAGGGTATTGACCTATTGACTCCAGTGTAATGCACTTGAACTTTGGGTCACTTCTAATTGTCATCGATTGATTTTTTGTTACTTCTAATTGGCCGGCTGTATCACATCCCTTCCTATTTATGATTCGTCAGTTGGATGCACTTGTATCCCAGTGTTGATTTTCACATTAAGACTTGAACTTAATACCTTGTGCTTTAAACTTCAAAACGTCATCTAATGAGCAACTGAGTTTAAACCATCATTTACTGATGCAAGTAATGTGCGATTTCGATTCAAAATCATTAAAGTAACATAATCATCCGAATTATTACAAGCTGAAAAAGATTTACGTATAAATTTGACTACTAACTAATTACTGTTTAAAGGCACTTTTCTATATTATTAACAGGTTATATTCTTTTAAAAAAGAAATTTTACTGAAGCCAAACCACCATGGAAAACCTGAAAGTATTGGACGGACTTGGCATCTTAATATGGGACTCCCCAGAAGTGCGCATCTACGATCCCGCCTTGCGAGCTTCGAACCCGAGGACTATCGGTGTCACACACTGACGCTTTACCTCTAGACCACTGAACCGTCCGGTATCCAACAGTGTTAAAGTCTAGCTTCAACTAATCCAAATATACTTGAACCTTAACTCCATATATATATTTATTTAATTTTACTACACTGCAAAACCGACAACTTTACAGAATAATAGTTCAGAATCTTTACAAAACCTGTAAAACTTGATTAACATTTTTTAGCCTGATACTCGTTAATTAAGTACCGGATACATATTAAGTTTCAACTAAATGTTAAATGACACATCTATCATTGTCTTCAGTGAGTTACTATCTCACAGCAGACCCGGTTGAACTCCACTGGTCACTGCTTCTCACTAGATCTCCAGGAAATACCTATTGAAGCCAGTCACTAGTGAGTATATGTTGATTAGTGACAGAGGGGCTCTACACTGCTGAGGAGACTCATAACAGGAAGTAATGGCCGTCTAATGCTCCCAGGTTTTCCATGTTGGTCTAGCTTCAAATGGCTCATGACCTCAACTATTGAAATTACTATAATATCCGCAAAACCCCTTCTTACACCGAATACGGAATATTTAAAAATGATTTTGAAACATTAAGTATCATTACCAAGGTTTAACATGATAATTTTGAATAAACTGAGTATTGGGTAGATCGTTATATATAAATGATATATTTTAAATATCTCAATGAGTAAAAAAGTTAGATTTCCTGACGTTTCTTCTTCAGAGAAAAAATAATCAACACTGTCCTGAACAGTTCTTTCCAGTTGTTTCCAGTTGTTATTCGTTCTTTTGATGTTCACATCCAATCCTTAACGCAATGCGTTCTTTGGTTTTTTTGTTTCCCCTTTCCCTTCAGGATTTCAAGTAAGAACTCGCTCCTGGACGCAGTCTGATGATTTCCACAATCCATGTTCTATCCACCTTCAGTATATTTTCCTGATTTCCTCTTCAGCTGGAAGTTGGTTTGTTCTCTCGCATAGTAGGTTGTTGCTGATGGTATCCAGTTAATGGACATAAAATATCTTGACTAGAAAATTGTTTATAAATACTTTTACTCTTTTGATGATGGTTGTTTTACTTTTCCA